GCTGTTGATGTAGATTTATGCGTAGCAGGTGATCTCAAAGACCCAGTGAACCAATTGCCCATCCGGAAATCCCTAACCATACTTTCCACTTCCGAGACCATGATTCAAGCACTGACTGGATTACGGTGTAGTGGACAACATACTCATCAACCAATTGAAGGACAAACCAGGTTTCAGGGTCAATCCATGAATCGTTCCACTTTCACTGAACACTACCCAAGAAAGTTTGCACGGTTGTTGGCGAGAAGTCTTGGGAAAATTACCATGAACCATGAAATGCCTCACCGAAATTGGGAAGCCACGGCGTTTACTGCAGATCATCCTGAGGCCCCACCACCAAAGCGTGCCAAGCCGGCTGCGAGACTCACGTTGAGCCGCACCAAACCGGTGAGTGTGCTTCCATGGGGAAAACGCCGACGATGTCTGGGTAAAACCACACCTGTGGATAGTGAAGAACAATGGAAGACTATCTTTCGAAGATTGGAGTCTTTAGTTCCCAGAGTAGGAAAGACAGAAATCACAGACCCCGAAATCCTTAGCCAAATTCAAGATCTCGTTTCCGACAAAGAGGTGATTCATGTCAGAGGTTGTAGAGGTAGTAGCCGCACCATTGCCCCACCAGAAACTTTGATTAGAGGAGAAGCACCCTGGAGAAGAGCCATCTTTACAGAAAGGGGTTCCGGCAATATCAAAGCAGAAGAAGAGTGGGAAATGTGGGAGACTCTAGCGAAGCGTAACTTGATTCGACCCTCACACCCATGCAGGTTGAACATCACCGTGTTTGCTCGGACGTCGCCAGTGTCCCATGCCGGCACAAGTGTTCCCCGAGGAGACAGCCATGTGGAAGTCCCTCCTAATCCAGATGCAGTTCCCGAGGTCACTGGAACACAGACTGAAATGCCTGGATCAAGTGACCAAAATGCCAGCCACCATACCAGCTTGACACCGTCCCAAGAACATGACATGCAGAATCCAAAGCAATCTGAACGCTTCAAGAGACTTTCAAAGGAAGAACAACAGATGATTCTTCGTGCTCATAAAAACCTGGGTCATCCCAGTCCTGAAAGACTTAGCACACTGTTCAGGTCTCAGGGTTACAGAGCCGAAATTGCACAGGCTGCGTTGGATTTTCAGTGCTCAGTATGTCTCTCTCAGGTTCAACCAAAGATCGCCAGACCGAGTGCGATCAAAGATGAACTTGATTTCAATGATCGTGTATGCTCCGATGGTTTGACCTGGACAAGCAAGGATGGTCAAAAGTACCACATTTATCATGTTGTAGATTGGGCCACGAGTTTTCAGACAGCATGCTGTGCTCCAGATCAATCCTCAAATGCGCTGATCCAATACCTGATTCAGATGTGGTTTAGCTGGGCCGGAGCTCCTCAAGAAATGCTGGTTGACCCAGGAACTGAGTATAATTCTGAGGAATTCACTCGTTTTGCACAATCTCACAATATTCGGGTCACCACAACCAGTGTGGAAGCACCATTCCAAAATGGCAAAGCCGAACGACATGGGGCCGTTCTGAAGACCATGTTATCCAAATACGAGGCAGAACATCCTATCCGCAACTATGCAGACTTGAATGAGGCATTGTGGTGGTGTATACAGGCCAAGAATGCATGTAGTCTTCGCCGAGGCTATGCCCCAGAAGTGCTGGTGCTAGGAAAACACACCCGTGTTCCGGGAGCCATATCATCAGATGAACTGATGCCAGCCCATTTACTAGCTGAATCAGAAACAGCGCATGGAGTCGCGTTCAAGAAACAACTGGAATGTAGAGAAGCCGCCAGGAGAGCCTTTCATCAGGCAGACAATGATGCCTCTTTGAGGCGTGCAATCCTAAGGCGATCCCGTCCAGGACAAGCCTCTTATTCTCCAGGAGAATGGGTCATGGTTTGGAGGCAGGGAAAGGGTGATTACCCTGGGTATTGGTCAGGTCCCCAAAAGGTTGTGGTTCATGAAAATGCCCAAACCATTTGGACCACAGTGGCCAGTAAGCTTTTCCGAAGTGCCCCAGAACACATCAGACCAGTCACAGCATCCGAAGCCAAGCAAATTTCAATTACACACGATGAACCATCCATTTCCACGATTGCCCAACAAATTCCATCGAATGGTACTCAGGGAATGACCCGAGCCATAGATTTACCCACAAATGCACCACCAATAGTCCTGGATGAAACTCCCATAACGCCAGAGATTCCACCAAACGGACCATCATCCAATGAGTCCAATTCAGATCAACCAGATCAAGAGCCAGAATCCAATGCAATGAATCCCCAAACCGAAATCACTGAACCAAACACAGATCAATCTTTGCCTTTCAACCCAGGAATTGCCATTAATACGCCCATACCCGATGACCTAGACAATGATGACTTGGTTTGTGATAGCCTCTGGTGCCTGGACGATGACCCAATGGTGTGTCCCCTGACCACCGACACCGCATATCACCTTGAAGTTATGGTGAATACTGATGACATCGATGCCTGGAGAGCTGAAACCGATCCTCATGAAATGCTGTTTGTGGCATCCGCCGCGCGCCGTCAAAGATCTGAAGTCAAGATAGCCACTCTTTCATCGGAAGAGAAACAGCAGTTTCAGAAAGCCAAAGAAGCAGAAATCCAAAACTGGATCAAGACCGGAACCATATCAAAAATCCTTCGTAGCCAGGTCCCATCACATCAAATCATGCGATGTCGCTGGATTCTAACATGGAAACCCTTAGATGATGACCACAGTGAGAATCCCAAAGATAAAACATCAGCAATGAAAGCCAAAGCTCGGTTAGTGATTCTAGGATACTTGGACCCTCAACTAGAAGAACTGCCTCGCGACAGTCCCACCTTGGGACGGAATGCCAAAATGCTGTTGCTCCAACTGTTGGCCTCAAAACAATGGGACCTCAGATCTTTCGACATCCGTGCTGCATTCCTGCAAGGAAAGCCACAGCCTGGAAGAACCTTGGCCATTGAGCCAGTAGCCGAGTTAGCTCAGGCACTGCAGCTGGCCACCAATGAGATTTGCCGATTGGAAAAGGGAGCCTATGGCCTCATCGATGCCCCATATCTTTGGTTTGTAGCCATCTCCGAAGAATTAAAGTCATTAGGTTTCGAAACTAGTCCATTCGACCCATGCCTTTTTACTTTAAGAGATCCAACCGACAATTCTATTGCGGGAGCCATAGGTTTGCATGTGGATGATGGGATTTGCGGAGGAAATGAATTGTTTTTGTCAAAGCTTGATCAACTGGAAAAGAAATACCCTTTTGGTTCAAAGAAACTACATCAATTTACCTTCACCGGGGTCGAAATGAATCAACTTCCAGACTATACCATTCAAATGAACCAATCCAAATACATAAAAGCCATTAATCCCATTCAAATTCCCAAGAACCGAAAAGACCAGCGTGATGCCTTGGTGACAGAAGAAGAGCGCCAGGCTCTCCGAGCCATAGTAGGAAGTCTCCAATATGCTGCAGTGAACACCCGACCGGATCTTTCCAGCAGAGTCAGCATGTTACAATCATCCATCAACCATGCCACCATCGAAACACTTGTACTTGCCAATCAAACTTTGTATGAAGCGAAGAAACACCACGACACCACCATCCAGATCCAACCAATTCGGGTAGAAGATTTCAGATTCCTTGCCTTTTCTGACGCATCATTCGCATCCAAAGGTAGCCACAACTCCCAAACCGGTATCCTAATCATGGGAACCCATAAGGACATCAGTAACAATGTCAGCTGTCCAGTCAATCCATTAGCGTGGGGCTCTAAGAAGATCCAACGGGTAGTGACTAGTACTTTAGCTGCAGAGACGGTTTCTCTTAATACTGTCCTAGATCACCTCTCGTGGTTGCGCCTATGTTGGGCTTGGTTGCTAGATCCCACCACTAATTGGAAACAACCGTCAAAAACCCTTCGCCAATTACCCGAAACTTTCTCCACTGCCACTCTCAAAGCCCAGAATCTCCCCGACAGTTTGGCTGCTACCGATTGTAAATCCCTATACGATTTAGTAACTCGAACAGCAATGCCTAGTTGCTCTGAATTCAGGACCCAACTGAACGCCAGAGCAATCAAGGACCTCCTTGCTGAAGGGGTATCTCTCCGCTGGGTCCATTCAGGTGCACAACTTGCAGACTCTCTTACTAAGATAATGGAAACCTCATTCCTGAGAGAAACCTTGCGACTTGGTAGATACCGTTTGAACGACGAACTGGAGATCCTCAAGAATCGGGCCACCAACCGAAATCGCTTGAAGTGGTTGAAAGACTCCTGCACAACCACTGATCACCAAGGATGCAACGATGAATGTTTTCTTTTAGAAAAACTGGATTTTTAAGGAATGTAAATCCCACATCGTTGCATCCACCAAAGATCATAGGTAGACATGCTGTCCCTTCCAGCCTTCAGGTTTTCCAATCAGTTTCACTCTCGAAGAACATGCTGGCTCAGGCGAGCCCATAGGGTCAAGGTAAGAGGGAGGGATAGCGTGCGTTGAGCCATTTGCTAGATCTGGACGAGGCCGTCCTTGCAGAGAGCCTGGGGCTCCATACAACTCTGGTCGTGGCCGACCCTTGCATATCCATAAAGCCTTGCCATTTAGGGCAATCCTGTTTTGACGCTGTGCGTTGGTTGGAAAAGCTGCTGCTCAGCTTTGCAGGTTGGGGAGCCCGTTGCCAGTGTGAGTGAAGTCCTATTCACAATATATATATATACATGTATAGATAGATATAGATATAGGGGTAACAACACTGGGTTAAGTTTCCAATTTTACCAAAAATCAATCCATTGATATTTTGTGGAAGCCTGGAAGAAGTCAACAAGTAGTATGCATGTTATGAACATCCATTGTTTCCAGAGCTTTGGCAGACTTGTTTGGAGTCCACAACCAATTTTCCATCAAATTTTTGTGGCCATGCAGGACGCGATACATGTTTCTAATACAGTATCCTTTGGTCCTTTGGAATGGGAAGTCACCCATCCTCAGCCCAACCCAGAATTCCCAACTTCTGTGATTTTTTGATAGTTCTCAATCCTCCCGGTGTCAATACCCACCCAAAAGAACATCCCAGTGGCGCAAGAATTCCAGCTGATCATGTCCTTAGTGACCAGTTCCCCGTGGAGTTCAACCCAAGTGCCGCCATCTGCTTCTCAGAAACGGAAACAGTGATGTTTCTCATGTTTCTACTAAACTCATATAGCTACTGGATGGAAGAAATCCTGCACCAGTTGATAGGTGGTTTATCCCATTACTTATGGGGTTTCAACCATCCAAGGTGGTGCAGGATTTCTTCCAGTCATATACTATCACATGGTTGGGCAACTCACATACTAACAGCTCCAACTGGCTCCCCATGGCTTTTGTTAATCGCCGGATAGCCATGCCGCTCCGGTCATCGCTGCCCAGCGTCCCCCATTTTCTGCTGCGACATTTGGCGAAGCAGCTGCAGACTCCGACGCCAGTCAGCCATGCTGAGAGCGCTGTTGAAGGTCAGGTCGTTGGGAGAAATCTCGTGGTCAGGGGGGGCCCAGGGAAAGAGCATGGTCCTAAATCGAAAAAAAACCATGAGCAATTTTTTCCGCTTCGGAGATCTTTTTGGGATGATTTGGTTGACACCTGACAACCCGCAATTGATGGCGATTTGGCAACAATAAGGTTGCTATGTTTTGCCCAGAGCCAAGGGCATGGGCACCATCGGATCACCGGTCATGGGTTTGGGAGAGAACACATGGGGTCATGGTTGAACGCGAATTGGTCAATGCTAGCTGAGAACTAAAGTCATGTCATCTAAAAAGAACTCTAGTGATGGTCAGGTTCAAGATAATTCTTTTGAGTCCATCTGGAAAAGTCGATTTTTTTGCTGGAGTCAATACATGTCCCGCCCCATGTACATAAACATCAATTCTTTTATCTTTTTTTTTTTACGGGGGGTTCACCGCTTTGCTCCCCAAAGCCAATGTTCAGCCTCCAAGAAACTTGTGAAGCACTCGGATTTATGGAACATTGTTGTTTTTTTGGTTACATATAAGAGTCTCCCAAATCAGAAATAGATCCATTGCTGGCATGATCTCCCATAAATCATCACCCAATTACATCATTGGATATCCAGGAATCATCATCTCCAAGCATCAGAAATAGATCCTGGCCTGGTCCGTTGCCACCAGCAGCAGCAGCTCCAGTGCCCAGCGCCATCTGGCCGCGCTCAGCGCCGCCAGCGCGGCGCTGAAGGTGACCACGTCCGGCCGCGCGTTCGAGCGCAGCGAGCGCAGCTGCAGAAGAAGCGCTAAGGCGACCTGCGAACTGGGGTGAAAATGAAGGGGGGGGTACCGAACACCCACCAAAACTAGTTTTTTTTTCTGATTTCAAGGACTCTTGTGGTGATCTAAGTTAAAAAACAACTTAAGGATAACTTGGGATTTCCACCAACAAAAAAGATAAGGGATTGGTTTTGTCATCAGAATCAAAACCAGAAACCACTGTATTTGCTCCAAATAAAAGCGTTTTGCACCCGTTGATTAGTGGCCTCGCTTTCAGCTGCCTTCTCGCATGCGCTGATGACGCTGTTGTGGCTGATGATGTTGGGAGTGATCCTGTGAAAAAACATGAAGCCAGCTGGGAACTTAAATTGGCTGGACATGTCCAATTTTTGATAAGGTAAGCCATCATAAGCCAAGCAGTGACCATTTTCAACAATCAATTCATCTTGGATCAGACTAAACAACTTGCATCTTGCATTTCCGGTGTATTTTCCAGTGCCCTCTTTGTTTGCTGACAGACGTTGTGACGTTGGCTAAAATGGCCAGATTTGACATCAACGGGCTAAAAACTTGTGCCAGGTATAGTGAAGTCACCGGCTACCTTGGAAGGTTTGGTGTCAAAAACCAAGTCCGCCCGAGGAAACTTAGTGGTGATGCCGATGATGCAAGCCAGCTGAACATCTTCCTGCTTGCTCAGGACTTTGCCAAACAACATATTGCAACCAGCTGATTGATCACCCTCCGGTAATTGAAACATGGCTAGCTGGAAAATCACCCTGGATGATTTTCCCACTAAAGAACCTCCATTTTTATTTGGGATTTCTGGACATCTTCCAAACCCCTCAGAGCCATGGATCCTCCGGTCTTCCATCTGCATCAGCAGGGCCAGGGCCATTTCCCATTGCCGCCCTTTCTCACATGCGCTGATCCTGATGACATGAAGGCCGATGCCCAAAGGGTAAGCGTTGCGTTTCCACGATGGATTCCTAGTAGGGCCGTTTGGAGATGTCAACTCAAGTGCAAGAGATGCGATGTTCCAACATGTGCTGGTTCTTCCGTTCTTCCACACTTTTGGAACATCATATACATTCCCCAAGACTGTTGGTAGGACTTACGACTTTTGTGACTTTTTCCTGCCGCGTTCGAGGACCAAAACGCTCTTCATGTGCCTTTGCAACGCCATTTTTCTTGGGGTCCCACCTGTAGATATTTCCACCATACATTGTAAATCCAATTGTTAGACTAGTGAAATAAAACTTGCGTATCTCTGGGATCCCCTTCCTTTCTTTGGCCTTGACAATGTGCCCACACCCCACACTCAGATTCTGATCACGCAAAAAAAACAACCCGTTTTGTAAGATACCACATGTCATAAACCACATGTCGTCACTGTTGGGTATGGTGACTATGCCACCGTCATCCCGCTGAGCATCCCAGTCCCAATGCTACTTCTATCCCGTACCAATAGCCAGAATTTACGACTTGATGATCTTCATCTGGATAAACGATGTATATATATATATATTATGCAATATATTTATTGCTATATATCATGATGTATATATATATAGTTATATACATGCATTAATATATATATATATATATGTATATATATATATAAACATGTAATCTATGATACTAACTCACCAGCCTGAAAAGTTCCGTCATTTTTGGATACCCTCAAAGGTAATCAAAGATCTACACATGGACAATGGGAAATCCTCGCGTTGGAGGGTTTTTCATGGGAAAATCTGGCTGAACATCATCTATAAATGGCTGATCTGTTCCATTGCCATGGTTGAAAAAACCGGAGGGAAAATCATAAATCATCTGAAGAATCCCATGAAATCCCATGAAATCCCTCATAAATCCCATTCAATCCCTCTAAATCCCATGAGTTTTTGGATGGTGAAGTCGCCACCCCCATTTCCGGCCAGGCATCACGCTGCTGTAGAGGATCACGTCACCCTGCAGCTGTCGGACTTCCAAGTGCTGGAGCAAGGCGATGGCTACAGTCCATCGGGCCCCTGGGGGCAAGGCAGCCTTTTTGTGAAGGGGACAGCATGGTTTTGCATGCGAAACCAGCAGTTGTTTGTTCACATGTAAATGATATATATATATTATATTATATATATAATATATATTATATATATAATATATATAATATATATTATATATATAATATATAATACATAATATATATATATATTATGTATATTATATATACTATATATATAATATATACTATATATATAATATATACTATATATATAATATATAATATATAATATATAATATATAATATATAATATATCCTCATATAATATACATATACCATTCATATCTAATATCTCATTCTCCTATATCCTATATCCTACTATTACTTATTATCCTATATAATATATACTATATAATATATAATATATAATATAATATATATATATATCTATCTATTATATATATATATATATCTGGCCAACTACAGTAACAATAATTCGCACCTAGTCGCCTCGTCGTGAATTCGCCTGTGTGTGACGTTTTACCTCGCCTTGTTAATTAGGTTTGGGGAATTACTGGGCTCATACTTTTGCCCAACAGATCACGTTGGCGCTCTTCTTTTCTTGGCCAATCAATATGTGAAAAACACCTTTTCACAAGCTGACAAATTTATTCCACTCTAGACCTGAAAGAAGCATTGCAATTGCGACCAAACAGCCAGAAAAAACTTTTCAGCCTCTGAAAAGGCATTTTTTTGTCCATTGTCCACTCAAAAAGTAAGCAACACCTCACCTCGTGGGGGTGTGAATGAATTCAATTGCCTCGTTAATTTGCTGTTTACCTCGTACCTCGTCTGGGCTCGCTCTAAATTGTGCAGATATATACTTGATATATACTATGTGATCTTTTACTTTTTTTCGGGAAATTTGTATTTGAAGCTTCAAAATGGTCGGTTCAAACAACTAGTTAAGGCTTTATCAAGCTTCAAACATTGGGGGGTACGGTTTTAGGTTTACCACACTATTGCCAAGATTTTTTCCAGGGAAACTGGTGATGTGTATCCCAGTCAATGACTGTGAAAGAAGTGACTATGGGCCCAAGGTGTGAATGGGATAATAAGCTGAGGGCTATGACAAATCGTTGCTGATTGGGGGTGCAGTGCCGTGGAATCCGCAGCAACCTCAGGTAAGCTACGGTAGGTACCTTGGCATTCTCGGACAATCCCCGATTTGTACGCAGATCCTATGAATCATGTGGATGAAGCATTGCCGTGATCGCCAAAGGGCAATTGGGATATTCCATGAGGCCTTCTTGTTTGAGATATCACAGTTACTGTAGGTGAAAAGTCACCTGACTACTCACCACATATGGCAAGCAGCGTTTGGCCGACATGAAAATCCAAAGCATATATATATATGATTATATATATATGATTGTATATGTATATATATATACTTATATGATTATATATATATGATTATATATATATATGATTATATATATATGATTATATATATACATGATTATATATATATGATTATATATATATATATGATTATATATATATGATTATTGTGAAATGTATAGCATTGCAAGGTGTTTCTTCCATAGCAACCTTCGCGAGTCTCAGCATGTACCAAACCAGCTTCCTGGGTAAATCCAAACATCATAGGTTGTTTCTTCTTCAGCAAACGAAGGCTCAGAGGCCCCCTTCAGAGGTATCGTGGCGGGTGGGACAATTTTTGCTTGATAGCCATAGCTACCCAGCGTGGACGCTGGATTGTTGGGCGAGGCGGCCCAATTTGCTTTGGACACCGGCAGTGTCCCTTTTCCTGCTTGGAACCTTGTGGCCTTTCGCTTTGGGGAAAAGAACCTCTTGCGCGATCAGGGTGTGGAGCTACCAGTGCGATTAAGTTCGCATTGGTAGCGGAGCCCCGCTGCCGAAAGTGCGGGAGATCCAGGGCGCCATTGCAACAGCTGGTTCACCATGTCAGGTGATGGAGTTTCATCTACATCAGGTGGTGATGGCACAAACATGGTGCCGAATCAGATTGCTTCGCTGGTGCCAACATTTGATCCGTCCAAGGATGATTTGCAGGTGTATTCACAGAAAGTCATGTTGCTGCTTGATGCCTGGCCGTCTGGAAAATATACAGAACTTACAACACGTTTGATTCTGAATTGCACAGGGTCCGCATTCATGAAGTTGCAGCTGCATCAAGCAGAGCTCATGGAAAATGAGCGCAAGTCAGTGAAACGCTTGATTGAAATCCTTGGTGGCCATTGGGGTCAAATTGGATTAGAAAAGAAGTATGAGCATGCAGAGCGAGCTCTATACAAGTGTGTGCAGAAACCGGATGAGTCAGCCGACTCTTTCCTAGCCCGTGCGGACATCATGTGGACAGAACTGAATAGCAAGGGCCTCAAGTTGTCAGACCTTCAGGCCTATGTGACTCTTCGAGGGTCAACTCTGAGCGCTGATGACAAAAAGAAAGTCCTTGTGGATGCCGATGCTGCTGGGTCTGGTGACCTTTCTGTACAAAGGGTGAGCAGTGCAATCAGGATGTTGGGAGCAGGATTCTTCCAAGACATGACAGGTGTGAAGCGAGGAAAGTTGAAAACTTACGATCAGGCCACTTTGCTTGCCGAAGCGGCCGATCATGATGAGGATGTGAACGATGAGATCTATGCTGCAGAAGGTGAAACTGTGGGAGAGGATGAAATGATGGAGTCCCTTGTCAGTGAAGGGGACACTGATGCGATTTTCGTGTCAGACTATGAAACCGCAGTTTCAGAGGTGATTCAAAATGATGAAGATCTTGCCGCAGCCTTCAACACCTACACAGAGGCAAGGCGCCGACTGAGTGAGAAGTTTCGTTTTCGTGGTTTCTGGCCAGTGTCGAGCAGTGGAAAATCCAAAGGTCCTTTCAAGGGTCGTGGAAAAGGGAAGTTCCACAAGGGACATTCGTCATCTAGGAAGTCACTGGAACAACGAATTTTGTCATCTCGTTGTCGCCTATGCAATAAAGTAGGTCACTGGAAAGCAGAATGCCCAGAGAGAAGCAGCCGTGCATCTCAGCCGAGCACATCTGCGCCCACAACGTTCGTGAGCACTGATGCCACACTGCCCATGGAGTTCCTGCAGATCCCCGTGAATGATGCCAGCCCACTAGATGAGCCTCAGTGTGAAGTAAGTGTTTT